TAGAGCAATTAGACAAGAGAAAGAAATCAGAGGTATCCAAATAGGAAAAGAGGAAGTCAAGTTATCCTGCTTTGCTGACAATGTGATCCTATACTTTGAAAACCCAAGAGAATCTGTCAAAAACCTGCTTTCACTGATAAAGGACTTTGGCAAAGTCTCAGGGTACAAAATAAATGTGCAAAAGACAGTCATGTTCTTATACACCAATGACAAGCAGGCAGAGAACCAAATAAAAAGCACAATCCCATTCACAATAGCCACAAAAAAAAAAAAATTAAATACCTTGGCATCTTCCTGACCAGAGAAGTAAAAGACCTTTACAATGAAAACTACAAAACACTGTTCAAAGAAGTCAAAGATGACACAAACAAATGAAAAAATATTCCATGCTCAAGAATAGGAAGAATCAACGTTGTTAAGATGGCCATTCTACCAAAGGCAATCTACAGATTCAAAGCAATACCCATTAAATAACAACATCATTCTTCTCAGACCCAGAAATGGCAATACAGAAATTCATATGGAAACAAATGATCATGAATAGCCAAAAACAATCCTTATCAAAAGAAACAAAGCAGGAGGTATCACACTTCCAGACTTCAACTTTACTATAAGGCTACAATAACCAAAACAGTCTGTTATTGGTACAAGAACAGGCATACGGACCAATGGAATAGAATAGAGATTCCAGAAGCAAAACCTCAATTTCTCAACCAACTCATCTTTGACAAAGACTCCAACAACAACCACTGGAGAGAGGAGAACCTATTCAGTAAATGGTGTTGGGAAAACTGACTGATCACATGCAGAAGATAGAAACAGGACCCCTTCCTATCACCATATACAAAAATTAACTCTAAATGGATCAAAGACCTAAATTTAACACCTCAAACTATAAGAACCTTAAAAAATACAGAAGACACCCCTTATGGAAATTGGAACTGGCAACCAATTTCTGATCAAAGTTCCAAGTGCCTATACCATTAGAGATAAGATAGACAAGTGGGACTCCATCAAACTGACAAGCCTCTGCAAAGCCAAAGAAACCATCAAAAGAGCAGAGAGACAGTCCACAGAATGGGAAAAAATATTTGCCACTGTATATCTGACAAAGGCCTAATATCTAGGATCTACAAGGACTCAAACATGCCCAAAGGAAAAAAACAAACAGCCCTATTAAAAGTGGGCAAAGACTGGGCTCAGTGGCTCAGCCTATAATCCCAGCACTTTGAGAGGCCGAGGCTAGTGGATTGCCTGAGCCTGTGGGTTTGAGACCAGTCCAGGCAACTTGGCGAGACCTCGTCTCTACAATAAATAAAAAATTAACCATGCACGGTAGCGTGCGCGTGTAGTTCTGGCTACCTGGAAGGCTGAGGCAGAAGGTTCGCTGGAGCCCAGCAAGCCAACACTGGGGTGACTGTGAGTGTGTCACTGCACTCCAGACTGGGCAACGAGTGAGACTCCAACTCAAAAAAAAAAAGTGGGTAAAAGACATGAATGAACACTTCTCAAAAGAAGAGATACAGGCAGCCAACAGACACATGAAAAAGTGCTCAGCCTCAATAACTATCAGAGAAATGCAAATAAAAATCACATTGAGATACCACCTAACCCCAGTAAGAATAGCCATCATTAATAAAACAAACAACAACAGATGCTGGTGAGGATGCAAAGAAAAAGGCATGCTTCTACACTGCTTGGGGGAATGTAAACTAGTGCAACCTCTTTGGAAAACAGTGTGGGGTTTCTGAAAGAACTATAAATTGACCTTCCATATGACCCAACAATCCCCCTATTGGGATTATACCTGGAGGAACTCAAATCATTCTACAAAAAAAGATACCTGCACATGCATGTTTATTGCAGCACTATTCACTGTAGCAAAAACATGCAACCAACCAAGCTGCCCATAGAAACTGAACTGGATTTTTAAAATGTGGTTCATATACACAATGAAATATTATACAGCCATAAAGAAGGACAAAAATATGGGCTTCACAGTAACTTGGATAGATTTAGAGTCTATCATACTCAGTGATCTATCACAGAAACAAAGAACAGAGTATCATATATTCCCATTCATAAGTGAACCTTGAGTAATTATCATAATACTATAAGAAGGGAATTGGCAGTAATGGGAAACTGCCAGGTGAGGGGAGCACACCTCATCAACAAGGGTACCTACATAATGAACATTTGTATACCTAACCCTGAATTGTACCCCACATCTTTAAAATAAAAAACATTTATAAATAAGTAAATTTTTTAAAAAGAAAGGAAATTAGGGGTGTCAAATAGGAAAAGAAGAAGTCAAGTTATCCCTCTTTGCTAATGATATGATCCTATACCTCAAAAGTCAAGATAATCTGTTGAAAACCACCTTGCACTGATAAAGAACTTTGGCAAAGTCTCAGGGTACAAAATAAATGTGCAAAAGAAAGTTACTTTCTCATACTCTAACAACAAACAGGCAGAGAACCAAATAACAAGCATGGTCCCATTGACAATAGCCAAAAAGAAAGAAAGAAAGAAATACCTTGGCAGAGAAGTGAAGTGAAAGATCTTTACAACAAAAACTAGAGAAGTGAAAGATCTTGACAACAAAAACTACAAAACACTGCTCAAAGAAGTCAAAGATGACACAAACAAATGGAAAAATATTCCATGCTCATGGATAGGAAGAATCAACATCGTTAATACGTCCATTCTACCAAAGGCAATCTACAGATTGAATGCAGTACCCATTAAATTACCAATATCATTCTTCTCTACCTGGAAGCAACAATACGGAAATTCATGTGGAAACCTTCAATAGCCAAAACAATCCCTAGCAAAAGAAACAATGTGGGAGGTATCACACTTCAGTTATGAGATTAATCTGTTCTGGTGATCTACATACACTATGGTGAGTATAGCTAATAATGTGCTCTTGAAATTAACTAACAGTATATCTTAAGTAGTCTCACCACAAATAATAAAAAAGCAACTATGTGAGGTGATGGATATGTTAATTTGCTTGGTTATGACTAACAAATAAAAGTGATATATATTTAAGGTGTACAATTTTCACATTGTACACCTTAAATATATATCACTTTTATTTGTTAGTCATACCTCAATAAAGCTGGGAGGGAAAGAGAAGAGAAATTTCAGGGCAAAATCAATTGAACTCTTTCACTTTACAAACAAGGAAACTGAAACTCGGAGAGAGGAGGGGTTCACAAAGGAAGTTATTGGTAAATAGACCATGAATTCTGACCACCTGATAGCTCAGGCTTGGACTTGCTGTGCAAAATGCATTGTTGGAACAGTAGTATATCACAGCTGAAGTGGGGAATCCCAAAAGTTTAGGAAAACATCTTGAATGAATGAATGAAACACAAACCAAGGAGTTACAGCTTTGTTAGCCTAGGATGAGATCTATGCACACAGGCATTTATTTACTTCTCAAAGGATAATTTTAAATTTGCTTTAGGAAGGTTTTTGAGCAGCTAAACTTTGGATGGGCCTAATAAGAAAGAGCACAGACTTTGCAAATGGACAGACCTAGATGTAAAGTCTTCCTGGCTGTGCAAACTTGATTCAGTGATGTAACCTCCCTGAGTTTCTATGTATTTGTAAAATGGAGAAAATCATCGACCAGATAAGTGAAGATGAGACAAATTTAGGAATTTAGAAAAACACTAATTCCAGGTCCTAGTCCCTCATAGATGCTCAGTAATGGAATTTATCAATTCAGTGGTGTGTTGGAGTTGGCCCAGGCCAGGCTTGTGGAAGCCAATTGATTGTGCATATCTCTCAATTCCAAGTCTCCTGATACCCTTGTTGGTAGCTTGAAATCAGCTATGATAGGAATACTGACATCATGGAAATTAGCAAACACTACAGATTAGGAAGCTTCTGAGCCAAATGTTAATTATTTACCAGACATTCCAGGTTATCATTTTTACTGAGGACAATATCAACTCATTTACTCTAGGCAGACAATATCACATGTCAGTTTGCCTGTTTTTACAGATGTGACTGCTCATTTTAGTCAGAATCAGCCAATTCAACAAAATGGTTTGTTGGTTTCTCTACCTCCAGCTCCCACTTTCAGAGGCTGTGAACCTCACTGGAAATTCTGTCTCATAGTGTTGCGAGGAGTGACCCAACTCAGTCACAATGGTCCACTGGGCACATTTCTTGATGTAGCCTGCCACACACCCTTAAAAACAGGAAGCCTTTCCCTTGTCTCTTCCAAGCAAAGCTGGGTCAGCAGTTCCAGGATCCCCAGGGGTTTTCAAGGTGGTGTGTTTGTCACATATGAGATGGATTCTTTTTTTGTTGTTTTTTTTTTGAGTTGGAGTCTCACTCTGTCGCCCAGACTGGAGTGCAGTGACCGCTTCCGGCCACCGCAGCCTCGACCCGCTGGGCTCCGGCGATCCTTCCGCCTCAGCCTTCCAAGTAGCTGGAACTACAGGCGCGCGCTACCACGCCCAGATAATTTTTTGATTTGTTGTAGAGATGAGGTCTCGTCAAGTTGCCCAGACGGGTCTCGAACCTGCGGGCTCAGGCAATCCACTCACCTCGGCCTCCCAAAATGCTGGGATTACAGGCTGAGCCACCGAGCCCGGCAAGTTAGATTCTTACCCAGGTCTGCCTCTGAGTGGGAGTAGGGGTAAGGCTGCTCTTCTTGAGTTCCAGGCAGCCGTGTCCTGGAATGCTCAGGGCAGACTCATCTGTGAGGACACCTCACCCACCCCCAATGCCAAGTCTCTCCCTTCGAGCCTGACCCCTCCCCTTCCTCCCTCCCACACTATGATGATTCTCTGGCAGGCCTTGCAGGAGCTACAAGGGACAATAAGATTCTAGCTTCTGGAAAGCCTCAGGCAGTCAGTTTCCCAAGAAAAGAGAATGATTGCCTGGTGATGGTGCCTGGGTCTCTCCCCCATGGGCTGACCTGAAAGGGGAAGTGGTCAGGCTAGTGCTCACTGTCTATAGGGGTGGGTGAGGGCCTGTGGGCGAGGAACACCTCTCACCAGCTGCGCCTGAGCCGCGGCACTCAGGCCACAGCTGTCTCCGCAGCCACTCATATCTGGATACCCTCATGGTTCAAGTAAGTGCCTCAGCTTTCCCAGGGACAATTTCCTGCTTTCTCCACAACAGGCATCTGCCAGAGTTGGCATCAGGACATGTGTCCATGTGAGTGACCACATGGACACAAGGCTGGGAGATTGTAGTCTGGATACCTGGTATGATCATTGTTTGGGGTTGGAGAAACACTGGCCTCGAAGAATCTGCTCTGCAGTCACTGGCTCGATGACCTGAAGCATCATTTCACCTCTCTGAGTCTCTGTTTCCTTGTGTGTATGTTGGCGTTGTTGAGGAAGTCTACCTCTCAGGTTGAAATGAGATAATGACCAGGAGTGAGATATATAAACTGCCTTGTAAACTCTCTGGAGCCCCCTTGCTCAATCTTTAGAAAAGTCTGCCGAGTAAGCAGATGCTTTTATAAGTAGATGTGTTTTGGTGGTGTGGGGAACCAAAAAAGGGATGGAGTTTCACCCCTGGGTCAGTGCAGGGTTGGGATTATTCTTACTCTCTGTGTACTGATTGTGTGTTTTGGGACTTGATAGGTGAGATGACCCTCATAGTGCTGTGCTAGAGATGGGAGTGGGGGCAAGGCATTAACTATGTGAAATTAGACTACATCTTGAAGCTCTTGAATGAAAGCCTTGGAGCACCATTAGTCTCGATGTCTTTGTCCCTGTATCTCTGGCATTTGGGGGATTATAAGGTCTTGGGATCAAAATATGTCGGACTGGTTTACAATCTCAATTGAGTCATCTACTCTTGCCCTCTAGAAAATTATTTTGAGAAGATACCTGGGTTTGGTTTTGCCATATTCACTTCCACCACCTGTGTATTCACTTGCCCCCAAGGTCCTCCCTTTCCTGACGCCTTTATATACATGTAGCTCTGAAGAAGCATCAGAAGTGGGCACTGCTGAGTCTGGAGAACACAGGGTTTGGGAGCTTCTATTTAATTTTTTAAGAATCTTTTTTCTCTCTCTGAAAATTTGAAAACTACTGAGATATAGGGAAAACAATGACCCCAAATTCCATCACCTTGTAACAACCACTGTAAGGAGTCTGGTGTGTTGCCTTCCAGTCCTTCTTTCCTAAGTATAGATAATTTTGAGATTTATGTGTGGTTTGTTTTGATGTAATCACATTCAAGAAATAGAAATACAAATGACACCACGGTAATCACAGCACAGGTGAACCTAGTACCCTCTACCAGCATTATTGAATGACAGGGTTCAAGTTTTCCTCCATGTTCCTAGAACCAAGCAAACAAGAAAAAGTAAGTAGTTGCACTAAGACCCATGGAGGGACTTCTGGGTGGTAGAAATTCTGAGATAAACTCATAAGGAAGTTGAACGAGCTCCAATTCTGGAAGGCTCTACTAAGAATGCACGCATCACACAGAATATCTCAGAAACATTAGGAAATTGGCCTAATTTCATAATGTCCCTCAGAGCAGGGACCAGAAGCTCTTTTTTTTTTTTTTTTTTTG